TACGAGAGAGACTACGAGAGGCAGATGACGTGCAGGCACGCGTGACTGCAATTCAGAGTGCAACAGAGTGCAGTTCAAGGCGACTTACATGCGGCGGCTGGGCATAGGCGCCATTTGGAGGCTGCTGGGCCGTGGGCGGTTGCCAGTGGGCGGGAAGCTGGCCTTGGCCACCCTGGTGAGGGAACATGGTGTCGCGGCGCGGTGGTCGTGTGCGGTGCTGGCACGGCGGGGGCTCTCCCAGTGCGACGCAGCGGTTGGGTTGGCAGCAGCGCAGAGAGAAGAGAGACGTCGGTGGTGGTGCGGGAGATCCTCTGGGGCGGGTGAGGTGTCACAAAATACTGGCAGGCGGGCCGCAACGTCGGCTGCAGGTGAGAGCGACGGGCAGTGCTGCGTGGGCGAGCCAAGCCTGAGTGGGCGGATTGGAGGGGGGGGGGAGGGTGTAGGGCGGCGCGTATAGACGGGCGTGCAGGCGGGCGTGTAGGCGGGTGTGTCTGCACGAGGAGCGTTGGAGAGAAGGTTGAGTTGGGCGAGGGAGGCTGTGGAGTGAAAGGCTTCTCGAAGCGCGTGGAGGAGACGACGGGACCCAAGAGCGTGGAAGCGAAAAAGGAGATTCAGGTTGGAGCGGCCGCTATTACTACCCACCGCGTGCCCGAACTCAACCTTCTCGCCGCTTCTACTGGCATGGCGTTTTTATCCCTGCCCGCCCCATGCAGCGACGACGGCGACGGTCCGCCAAACGCGCTAAATGCCATGCGGCATCCTCACTTGCAGCGCGACGTGCAGCCCTCGCAGCCCACCCATCCGCGCAGAGCTACCACTCGAAAACCCAGGCAGACACCTGGAGCGAGCCGCCCCTACCACGTCGCCCAAGCCAACTGTCTGGCCTGTGTATTATCGCGCGCCCATGACACGCCCATGACGCCGCCCATGACCGTCAAAGCTGCCCCAACCTTGTCGGCCACCCATGTGCATGATGCTGCTGCGGGCCGGCAGCTTGCTTGAGATGTGTGACTCGCCAAGCCCTCGGGGACTCCCGTCGCGCTGTGATCTACGAGCCTTTAATTACATACACACGCCGCCGCAACAAATACTCTAAAAGGCCACGGCCTGCCAGTCTGCCCTGCACGCCGCGCCCTGCCTGCACCGCGCTTGCTCCAGAGCCTTCCCGTCGCTGCTGCACTGCGCGTGCGTCTACCGTGGCACAGTCGCCGCAGACTCATGGAACCACCTCGGGCTCTTGAATCGTCTACGGCCCGTCTCTGCGTCCCTCGTGTCGCTTCCTCTGCCAAGCCCATAGCTCGCGCATTCGACAGCTCACGAACCACGGTACGCGCCTGCGTCCGGTCAGCTTTGGTCCTACCCTCCGCTCCTGGCCCCGGCCGCCTGCTGCAATATGCTTTTTTGTACACATGCATCGTGACGCTGCCTCGTCCTCCGCTGAACTGCTTCTCCGACGTGTCGACTGCAAGTGGCCGCCTGCAGCACCACCCGCGCACTGCACCCATTGCACTGTCCTTGCCCTACCCGAGCCTCGAGTTCCGACTCACGTCGCCTGCCGTCTGCTTCATTTGCTGCCATGTCTGATAGGGCTGATCCATTCGGGGCGTCGGTCATTTTCCTCGACAAGGACGGCAACATCCCTGTCCGACTGTTGGTGTGTAACACTTCGGCAACCACGTCTGCTTGGACAACTGTGACGTGAGTGCCCTCTGCTCGCTAGTCATGGCCCTGCCGGTGCGTCTCGGCGACTTCAGGCACTCCTTCGCGGGGCAGTGTCTACGGGAGAGCCGATGTCTTGCGCCGGGAGAACCGTTCGTTGAGCGTAGCAGCAGCTCTTTTTCGCCTTCATGCGCACGCTGCTTGGTCATAGAGCCGATTCTGGCCAGTCCTGCCTGTGAAGAAACCATCCGACATCGTCTCTCTCAGCTGCTATTGCTTCGTGTAAGACGGCCGGCATGCGACGCAGCCCACTTTCGTCCTCGAATCACGCCTCTCAATCTGACATCCACAATTTGGCAAACCGTTCATCCCTTGCGCCGGCGAAGGCTTGCGAACTGGTGCCCATGGCAAAACACTTCCTCGCGCCGCTGATTCGACGCCTCCACAATAGTCGAGACAAACCGATACAAAGATTTCGACGGCACTTGTGCCTATTCTTTGGTAGTGGCGGTGCCGCAAGTCCCGCTGGTGACGAATCTCGGACTTGTGCGGATGTAGGCACGGTGGCATGGAGAATCGCGAAACGCCCAGGGCGCTTTCAGCCTCGGCTTCTCGCCGGCCTATTTTCACCTGACTGCATATACCTGACGACGCCGACACCTTGAACAAAGAATCGTCAGCCGTAGTTCATTACTGTCCACGCTTGCCCAAGCACCTCGTCCTGTGCCTCTTGCCTCGAGATTAGGGCGGACGGCCCGCAGTCTCTCGAGCTTAGTTTTCCACCGTCCAGGTCTCGGTCAAATTTAATCGACCAATCAGCACGTCCCTTGCCTAGCATTCAACTTACTTGGGCAAATCTCAGCATTCCAGCTGGCATGTGCCTTGCAGCTGCTGCTCGACGGGTAAATCCTATCGAGCACGACAAAAAACCTTGCTGCGGTCACAAGACGTCTCTACCGGTCAAAGCCGTCGTCCCGGCCACAGTGCCGTTTTCACTCATTGGCACCGTATTCAGCGGGATGACCGCTTGCAGCCAATCGCTTTTAATAATTGTTGTAATTTGATTGACTGCCACACCGTATTTCGCCCTTTCGAGTCAGTCACGAGCGCGTGATAGATGAGGCCCAATGCAGTCATTTGTCTGCGACTATATTCGTCTGAAACCATCAGTCCAAGGAGCGTCATCCTGGACTGGGCCGACAATCAAGGCCAGCAGCCTTGTGTTGCACATTGCAAAAGTGCCGTTGAATGCCGCTGATGACGGTTACACCAAGTGAGCGGATTGTGGGGTAGATCAACCAGGATCTGTTCTGGACGTGATCTTCAGCCGCCTCGGTCGATTCACCCAAGCAAATAGCCGCGCAACGTCCATCGCCACTGCAGTGCAGACTGCAAGCGATGCTCAGCCATGGTGGTGGCCATGGAGATTGCGACGCCGCGCGTGGACAGTGGGAGCTGGCTCAATTGGAACCAGGTGTATCCGCGGCTCGGGACGAGATGTGGAATTCCCGCGTGTGTCCCGTTGATAATTAGATTAACGAAGTTTGTGTCACCGAAGCCTTCCCGCAATATGCATAGCATAGCTGGAGATTGCGGAGTCTACCCATTCGTGTCACCGTAAGCAGCGCAAAAGGGCCATGTCGCTTGTGCCGCATTTTGTGTACCGCCAGCTGCAGGTAAAACCAGATTCAGATATATCAGGCGGGAAGATATCGTCAAGCCTCCGAGACGATGCCTCGCCCGTGGCACCGTTCTAGTGTCTGACAGGCATAAAGAACGCGGGCAATGCTTCCACAGCGCGTCCGTGGCCAGTGCAAAACAAACAACCTCACCGATCTGTCAAGGTGTGCTGGTGCGATAGAGGCGTGGTCAGTCTGGTGATGGCGTTGCATCGGTGTACACGCATTCCTTTGCATCCTGATAATACTTTTGATGCGCCGCAGTACCGCATGTTGCTGATGCTCCAACAAACGAGTTTCCGTCCTTGCAGTAGTGGTGTGAGGGACGACATCCTGTCGGATAAGCGGTATCCCATCTCCGTTCTCTACCCCAGCGCTCGTCCGCCTCATCTCGGGCAGACGACGGTGTATGCTCGCCTTACCGAACCCGGCGGAAGGCCGAGAAGGGCAAGGCGACACGTTTTGGCTTTGCGAGATCCAGCTGTGTCACAAACGCCGGTAAATATCATCTAGAGACGCGGAAGGGGTGGATAAGCGGACGCAAGCCATTGCGGGTCGATGGATCAGCCCGAAGCGTGCTAATTCGCGGAAGAAAGAAATATCTGCAGCTCATCGGTGTGATGGACGGTGGGATTCAATAGACACAACGAGTTGCCTTATAACCACACCGCCTTTTGAAGGCATTCTGAAGCTCCTCAAGGCCTCATTATTCAACTGGAATGCACTGTGCGATGCAAAATCGCGCCGTAGAAGGACCACAGCTCGCATTGGAATTCTGAAGGTTTGGCGTTGGAGCTGCTGGCGTCATGCTTACACCACGTCAAGCGCAGCCCAACAGCGTAAGCCGCTCAACTTTCCGCTTCTCATGAGTGCATGACGCTGAGCGATGCAGCAACTAACCGCCAGCTACTCAAGGCGCCGGTAAAGATTCGCTGAAGCCTTCGTCATGAGATGCAGCTGGCCTCGATCAGACGCGTTAGGGCGTAAACCCATGCATCCCAGACGGACAACGAGTGCGCCCCGAGCCGTAGCCGTGTATAGACTAACGCAACGTGTGCAGCATGTCACTGTGCCAAAATGGATAGTGGGGAGGCCAGCTGATCGGGGCCTGGCGATTACATGAAGCGATAGCTGCACACCCTGGCAAATCCTCTGCTGCAATGTCATGGCGAGAATCTGGCATCGATGCGGTCAGCCATCTATACTGCGCCGTGATCGAAAAGACGGAGAGTGAGCACTGTGCACTGCCTCCCCTCGTTCGTTTAGCCAGGGAAAAGCCGCTAAGAAAGACGGCAGGCCCGCGTCTGAGCGTAGCTTTTAGAGGGGGCCAGGGTACGAGCGAGCTAGATCCGAAATGAACAAGTCTCATCATAAGACCGAAGATACTGCATTTGGCATAAGTGCTCCCGTGACCTACTAGCGCTGCATGTTGATCCCAGTTATCCGCTCGTGCTGGAGCTAATGCTGCACGATGACTTAGTCTGTTGCATGGCATCGGTTGTGCCAACCAGTCAGCGCCACCGTGGCAGGGTTACACCAGCGTCTATTGGCGGTCTTTGCGCTTACGTGGCCCACTCCTCCACGCTCCCACCAATGTGTGCATCTAAATGACTTCGGCTCGAAGCACCGTGCCTCGAACATGCGTTGTTGAAATTGCTCTCATCAAGCCTCGTCATCCTCTGCGGCGTTGCTGTCATCGTCGGGCTCGGCATCGCTTCCTTCGTCGTCGCTCGAGTCTGACGTGTCGTCGTCGGGCATCGCGACGCTGTTCAGATAGGTGATCTGCCACGGTCGTTAGCGGCCTTGTGTGCAACGCCTCCGGGCAGATTGCTGTCGTCTGCCTTCACACCTGAAGGATTTTACGATGGGCGGGTGACTGCATTGCCAACGCACTACTGGCCGGCACTATAGTCACCCCATCGCTTGCAACGTACAGGCAATTCCCTAACAAGTTGCCGCCGCTCTTACCATCTCTTGTCCAATGGGAACGTGAGGCCGTTCATGTCAAGAGTATGGGAGAATAGACTTACAAAGGGTACCAGACTGGCTATGAGTTCGCCCACTCGCTCCAAGCCCCCAGGACCAACAATTTCATCGTCTGCGAGCTTCCGCCCCATGGTGTAGTTGCGGAGCCGCATAAGTTCGATATCTTTGTGGTCATGGTCATATCCCTGGAGAGCTGTCAGCAAACATGAACAGCTGCAGTGAGTTTGAAGTTTGTTCATCATAATCCCCGCGACTGGGCTTTGACAGACTGCTGCGAGCAGAGAACCCCGCCTACTCAAAGGGTGCTAGCTATGACAACTCCAACTCAGCTCAACTTGTTGAGTGCGGGGCGACTTGAAACTCTATTTGCCGGACGGCACACAGTTGTAACGCACAACCTTCCAGTACGAGACTGAAGCTAGTTGAACGTCATCGTGATCGTGTGCCGTTCGCGAGATGGTGTAGCGGAAGAGTTTCACGGATATACATCCTTGTAGGCGGGGAGCTTCCGTGCTAGTTTTGGTGTTGACCCGTGCCAGGCGGCGGACAGTACCCGATCGCGTCAAAGCCGTTGCCAGCCTTGCAAAAATCGACTCTGCTTGTGAGAAAACGTCGTAACCGTTATGTTTCACAAGCATATTTCATGCTTAATGACACAAAAGCTGTCTGCCGATGCCCTGCTGTCTTGTTGGATAGATTGAACAGATGCTGCATACCTTTGGATTGCGTTTCAGAGCGTTCGACTGATTCATCGACAGGCTCGTGAAAGCTTTCACAGCCTTCTTCTCGTCATCTTTGACTCCACCCAGGAAAGCCTCTCGAATACCGGAGTCCGTCAACATGGCCTTGATCTTGTGCGGTTTGCGATCAATGTCGCGTCGTAGTTTGGCGAGAGTCGACGCGTCAGGCTGCCAGAAGCCACCACCTTTCAAAGTCAGCGCATGCTCGTGGCAGGAAGATAGCAATGAGTATGAGGCGCAGGAGCCATTATCGCGCCGCTGATCATGATACCGCTTGCATAGGCAGAATGGATATACACTGACGTGCATCAGATGAATGTACCATCCCGACGACACCTCGCTGCACGTTGCCAAACCCCTAAACGAGTCGATACGTTACCTCACCGATACGGCGCGGTACAACCGAGAAGATAAGGTGTCACTCTACACTGTCCGACGGGGCATAGGCACATGGGTCCAATAGCGTGGCATGGTGACTGTCCATGTTCCCAGCATGACCACAACGTGCAGCGCTGGCCGGATCTGTCAATCTCACCACATGGCGATACATTGTCGTCTCCGGGCCTGCAGTCGTATAATGCGACACATGGTCAGGAGCGCAAGGTCGACCACACGACAACAGTCGTCGTAGAGCCGAGGCTCGTAGCAGATGTCGTGGTGACGAGCATTGGGTACACTTGCATACTTTATGCACATGGAGTCGAAAGAAGCAATGCGGTGGCCACGAGGTCACTTCGCACTGCGCTTGAGTTCCACGACAGCTCGCAGCTCGGGTGTCTCCGCGAAGACGAAGGAGAGGAGAATAGAACATACCTACGAAGCTACCACCGTTGGGTTGCACTTGAATGTAGTAGTGTGCGTAAGGTCCCTTGCGTCCCTGCACGTCGTGTACAATGTCAGTGTGGGTCTCACATAAGCTTGTACCGATGTGACACTTACAGTTCTTGACCAGGCCGCAGAAAAGTAAGTCTAGATCAGGTCAGCCTGCTTTATACGTAGCCATGAAAGGGCATCATGATGAAGCTATTCTTCGGAGCGCAGAGTAGATGCCATAGCGCCATGATGATTCGGCAGCATGCTGTGTCTTTCGACTTCGTGACACGGCTTCAAGGGCATGACCCCACCCTAGCGTGGCAGGTCGATGTATTCACTCACCTTGTACGGGGTTGGATCTTTCGAGAATCGAATGTCTTTCTATTGTGAGCATAACCCAGCTAAGACCACACTTCGGGCTCACCTCTGTAAATCCGGTAGATCTGCGCATTTTAGTAAATCGCACTGCGACAATCCAATCGGAAACACTCACTACATCTTTGACAGGCAGCTCTGGGATGGTCTCATCTGCCTCGATGATCTTCTCGGATACCTCCTCCGCAAAAGTCGTAAAATCCTGGCATGAAACTCTAAAGTCAGGGTCATGGACTACGATATAGACGTCAGCTAGCGGTCCGATCGCGCCGTTCCACGTGAAACAGAGTCAACCACTACTCACGCTTCAGCCATTGGCGGTCGTTGTTAGCCGTCAAGTCCTTGAGGAACAGCATTGTATTTGGGTGGATTGTGTGATCCAAGTACGGCGTGTCGCCTGCATCTCGAGCCTTTGGTTTCTTGATGATCAGTTGCGTTCCTGGTGCGAGCTTCGCACCGGGTTTCCATAGCTCTTTCTCATCAGCGGCCTTCTTGTGTATGGCAAGGCTCTTGGTTCCGCGCCCTCTAGGAGCTGCTCGCTTGCCCTCAAGGTCCTCGTCACTGGCGGTTTCATCGTGCTCAGATTCCGACGATGCATCCTTGTCGCTATGTTCCTCGAAGTCAGAAGCTACATCGTCATCCTCGTCATCTTCGGGCGCCGCTGCTGTCTTGGGTTTCTTCTCCTCGCTATCCGTGTCGCTTTCGGGCTCGACGTAAGACTTCCTTGCGGTAGCCCGTGCTCTTTTAGATTGCCGTGCTGGAACCTCCGGTGCAGGACGTTTGGAAGTGCTCCTGGGGGCACTTTCGCTTTTAGTGGCTTTACGTGGCATTATGTCGAGCAATGCAATTTGGGAAAGTGATAGGCGCGGTACTCAGTTGTCATTGCAGGTGCCTTCGCGGTTGCTTGGAAGATGACGCGCGCACAGACCATCGATGACGCACTCGAACGCGAAAATACAGCGCGTTGTCACGTTTCCACCCCAGCCAGAAAGCACGCCCGACTGACATGCCGACACGCTTCGAAGCTCGCAAGCAAAAGATCTTGGAACAACTGGACGCTCCAGATGGCGAGTACCATGATCTGTCGCCAAAGGGGTCCGTCGATGCGCCCATCCGAGGATTAATCGGCGAGATCAACAGTCTCCCAGGACTAGTCACCACTAGCAGCTGTTCGGGGCGCATCAGTGTGTTTTTGGAAGGGCGCAAATCAGACAATGAAGTACCAGATGCATTGCCTGAAGGCGAGACTTCACGCGCTGGACCAGGCGGAAAAGGTGGTGGGGGTGCATGGCTGTTCATCTCACACACCCCACTCGGGCCACACGAAGCAACAGGTGACATCATGTCAAAGTTTGGCTTGGGGAAGGCTGAAGCAACGGAGGGAACACCTAGCGTATCCAGCAGGTACATTCATCTTAAATTTGAACCTATGGTATCTTCAGTCGTCATAGCACGTTGACATGGTCTGACGTGGCACAGATACTCCACGTCCTGAGTGCATCGATGGATCATGCCCAAGGTGTCCTCACTGCTGCCTTAGCTGCCGGGTTCCGTGAGAGTGGCGCTGTGAGTCTAGGGTCAGCGAAGACAGCAGAGTCAAACCCCATGGTGGCTGTCCGGTCAGCTGGTTATTCATTCGACTCCATCATTGGGTATCAAGATGGTGATGGCCGCAATGTTGCCTTGGTGGACGAGCGGTATCTCCGAACACTAGTAAATATCGCAAACGAGCGATTCAACATCAACTTCGATCGCATAAGCCGGTTTCGCAAGGCCCTCTTGGAGGCGTACGAACCGACGACGACAAGTGGATCCAAGCCAGATTGGGAAGATGCGGACGCGAGGAAACGGCGGAAAAGAGAAGAAGGCCTTGCGCGGCAACAAGCTCTGCAAAACCAAGTCTCTCGAGAAGACAATGATTCATCAGCACCAGAGAATATAGACAGCATGGAAGGGATATTCTCCTGATAAAACATGGCACAACACAGACACATGCGCATCGACAAGAATGCCTGTGTTGAATACAACGAGAGTTCTGCTCTGTCGCAAACGGATATGACTCATGTTATGTCTATCGCGACAGCGGATTCGAGTCCACGATGAGTGGTTGCTTCTCTATATTGTGCGGAGCCATATGATAATGTCTCCGTCGACTAGTCTCCATAGCTCAGATGTAGAATAAGCGACGTTCAGCCAATTGTGCATCCACCGAGCCATCAAATTAGCTTATGTGTACGCAAAACCCTGGATTCGTACTTCTTTCTTTGCATGTTGTGATATCCGGTAACATAATGCCATATACTGTGTTTTCCAATCCCATTTTGGTGATGCTCCACCAATAGAGGCTTAGCGCGTATATGTCTCCGACGCAGATCGGCGACTTTGCTTCCATCTTCGCAACCATCTTCAACATACAAAAGGAGCATTGCATCTTCTCCAAACTTTCCAAACATTACCTATTGCACCTTCAAAATATCCTATATACCCATCAAGACTGCATTACAACTACCGAAATACCAAAACTACCCCTCACCACAACCCACCATCCAAGATGAGCTACGCAGAAGCCAACCGCCGGTACTTTGAGTACGCCACACCCTTCGCATGAAAGTTGATAGATAAACAAGAACTTGTGCTGATAAGTCCCACAGTGCCATATCCGACTCCTACGACAGTAAACCCTGGTTCAAAGTCGTCAACGACCGAGTAGCAACCACTCTACGCTCCGACCTCTCATGGGTAGGCATCCCCTTCACAGATTCCACCACTCAACCAGTCCGTCTTTTAGACTACGCATGCGGAACCGGCCTTATGACACGAGTCTTTGGCCCTTACGTGACGTCCACCCAAGGCATCGACATATCGCCCAACATGGTCTCCACATACAACACACGCGCACGCGACGCCGGGCTCTCCGAAGACGTAGTCCATGCCGTTGTAGGCGACCTTTTCGACAAGTCTGACCCTAACCCTGAAGCGCTTTCCGGAGAGCGGTTTTGGGATTTCGATATCGCGACTGTGGGGTTTGGGTTCCATCATTTTGAGGATGTGGTGTTTGCGGCGAGGCAGTTGAAGGAGAGGTTGAGGCCGGGTGGTGTGTTGGTTATTAATGATTTTCTGGAGGGAGGGGATCTTTTGGCGGCGGAGGATGGGAGTATGATTGAGGGGAGTGAGGGGAATCATGCTGTTCATGGTCATGGTCATCATCATCATGGGAGTGGGGAGGAGAAGGGTTCTGGATCTCACGGGCATGGGCATCACCACGGGCATCATCACCACCATGACTCTGAGAAGAAGCACGATGTTGGCGAAAGCAACACCGAGTTCCGGCAGAAGATGAATGCCTCGATAGTGGTTCCGCACTTTACTATCGACGGCGTAAAGCAGTTCTTCACGGAAGCTGGCTTCGTGGATGTGGATGTCATCACGATGAAAGAGAAGAACTACATGGAGTTCGGTGGCAAGAAGCTGTGGCGCACGATTCTGTTTGCTAGAGGGCGCAGGCCGATGGAAGGACAAGTTGGTCCGGGAAAGAGTGAACTATAAAGTGGAGTTAATAGTACAAGAGACATCAGCAATAGATTGTATATATGGGATATCAGCAACCGACACAGACATAACACCAAACACCAGACCAAGTGCCCTTCTATCCAAGAAAATACCAGTTTACCACTTCCCCTCCAAAGGCAGATCTCGGCTTGAGAAACCCACACTAATACCAAACTCGCCACTAGGCAACACCCAGTTCTGCCTCTTGACATCCCAATAACTCAAATCCCTTCTCGTCACATCAAACTGCACCAGCTTGCCTGCGTTCTTCTCAAGGTGAATCTTCTCAAAGCCGCGCAGCACACGAACAGGGAAGTCAACGGGCTCACCCGTCTCGTGGTCCTTGTAGTTTTGGGGGAAAGAAATGTAGAGCTGGACTACTGATGCGCCATCGACGGGTCCGGCGTTTTCCAGTGACGCCGATACAGTCAGGAGCGTGGTGTAAAGATCAGGGTTGCCACCTGGGCCACCGCCTGCTTGGCTAAGAGGAGATGGTGGTGCGGGGGTTATGGGGTCGGATTTCTTGATACCCTTTACGGAATCTAGCCATGGGTAGATGAATCGCTCGACCTGGTTGAAGCCCTCAGGGAACAGCACAGATTTGGGATCTGGTAGGTCGGTAGAATAGCTTGGTGGAGTCAGGCCGTCAGGTCGAGGCTTGGGAAGAGGCGTTTTGGCACCCTTTTCTTCGATGAGGAGGGACGACAGCTTGAAGTCTGTGTACGAAAGACCGTAGCCAAACTCGAATCGCGGGGCGATGTTCTGCTTGTCGAAGTGACGGTAGTCAATGTAGAGACCTTCGGAGAAGTCCTGCTGAGGCGCCAGACCATCCTTCGGGGTGGGAAGATACTTGATCTTGCTGCCTGGGCCGTAGTCGTCTTCCTTCTTGGCGATTGTGTAAGGTAGACGTCCAGATGGGTTGACGTCACCGAAGAGTACGTCTACGATGGCGTTACCAGACTCGGTACCTGGAAGATTGGCGATAATGACGGCTCTGACATTCATGATGTCGATGAACTTCTCCAGGATGACAGGCCCAACAGTGTGAATGACAACCACGACATCGCCCATGCCTTCTCCGCAGTCTTTAGCAACATCCTGAATTAGCTTGTCGCCGCCCTTTTGCAGATTAAGGTCATTCCTGTCACCACGAATGCCTTCATAGTGCTGGTAGCCCTCTCCGGCGTCGGCGTTGGCGAAGACAATGCAGAGGTCCTGATCGACGAGAATCTCCTTCTGGCTAGGCAGCTTGTTTTCTAGCCAATCGGTGACGTAAACAGTCTCGTTGTCGAACGCGTCTCGAATGGCGGACATAGGCTCCACTAGATACGAGAAGTTGACCGCGCCAGAACCCCATCCTGAGGCTAATGTACCTTCGTTGCAGCTCTGATCAGCGCAGTGGTTGATTCCCTCATGAGGGAGACGTGCATCTTCACCAAAGACACCAACACGGAACTTCGTCTTGGCCTTGCCGCCAGTCTTCCAGCCCTTTCGGTCCAGAGGCAGCATCTTGCCCTCGTTCTTCACCAAGACGGTACCTTCGGCTGCGACGCGACGTACTAGGTGTCCGTGGGCTTCTTTCCCTTCTCCTTGCGCGTTGACGTACTGGTTTACGATGCCTGTCTCGTGGTCCGATGGGCTGCCCTCGTGAAGCTTGCCAACCCTGTCGTTGGTCCACGAAGAGAAGTTTGGTCCGTCGTTTTCCCACTTGTCCTGGCCGACCTGATACCAAGATGCCACAACGCGAGTAACCATATCGTCGACACGCTCAATTGGCACGCTTCCATTAAGAACCGCACGGGTGAGCTCAGGGCCCCATAAGCTGTTGCCCTTGGCCCATCTTAAGCCATCTCCAGGCATGGTCATGTCCAAGCCCGCAAGAGCACTAGCCACGCCTGAACGTTGTGCTAGCCAGTCACTCTGAATGAAGCCCTGGAAACCGAGCTCATCTTTCAAGACTCCATTGAGCAGCTTAGAGTTTTGGCAGGCATAACTGGAATTGACCTGGTTGTACGAACACATGACACTGGTCACTCCAGCTTTGACGGAGTCGGCGAAGGGCCATGCGTAGATCTCGTGGAGTGTGCGGTCGTCGATGTTGCTCGATATCGCGTTTGGGAGGCCCCACTCCCATGCTTGTCTGAAGTGCTCTTGTTCATTGGCGACATAATGCTTCGCGGTAGCCATGACGCCCTCGTCCTGGATGCCCTTGATGGTTTGGGCAGCTGCAATGCCCTGTAGAACGGGATCTGAACCGAAACCCTCCCAGACGCGACCACCAGCTGGCAATCTCCCGAGAGGACCCATGGCAGGACCCAGCAGGACGTTGACGCCCTTGAGGCGTGCTTCTTGGCCGTGGGCCTTTCCACGTAGGTACATGAGTTCCTTGGACCAGGTCGCGCCGGTGGTGATACCGGCAGGGAATGCGGTGATGTTATCGGCGAATCGAATACCCAATGGACCATCCTGAATACATTAGTTTAGTCCTGGAGACATGCGGAGTGTACGTACCTGTAGACACAAGCTGGGGAACTTCAGCCTGTCTACGCGCCCAGTCTGGCCGACGCAGAGATCCATGCTCCAGCCTGTGCCCGTTGTAATGTTGACCTTCTCAGGCAGCGTCATCTGCTTGACCAGGTCCGCAGCTCTCTTGTAGCTGTCCTCCCATGCCTTGTCGGTGCCACCCTTTGGCGAGGGGTACCACGGCGGACTCAGCCCATCCTCAGGCACAGAGACCTTGTATGCCCATATACCACCCGAAGCGAGTATCAAGACGGTGGCGGCGACGAAGACCAGCAGCCAGCAGCAGCACCGTCCTGGCGCACAGCGCGCCTTCCTTTGCTGTATGGGGAATGGGGCCGCGTCCTCGGTGTCTCTGTAGGACGCTTTCCGGACCTTGAGGTCACCGGCACTCTTTTTGCGCCTGATCTTGCTGTCGAATGCGAGTGGGTCGTGTTCTTCAAGATCTTCTAGCGTCCCGTTGGATTCGGAGGAGAAGCGCGTCGGGGTCTCGACATCGTCGTCGACGGGGTTGTCGAGCTTGGCGTACTTGCCACGGCGCATTTCGTGAACTTCGTAGGGCGGCATCTTGGTCGGAGCCGGGGCCTGCTTTAAAGGAAGAGGTGGGTGGTGTTGTGTCGTTCGCGGCTCAAACGGCTAGGCTATCGATGACGGCGCGAGCGTGAAGCTCTATGATGTTGAGGCTAGCATTGAATGCGATAACTCGGCAATCACGGGACCGTGATGCATCAAGTAAAGAGGATGCAAATGATGTTTCTGCAGGACAGAAGACACAGCGTACACAGCGAGAGTCGTGGTTCAAGGCGAATGTTTCACCGGGCTGGCTTGCGCGCGATGGCGTCTCGTCCCTGACTAGGTGCCGATCTCGTGGGTCGACTCCCGCCCGCGCTTGCGTCCAGACGGGCCTTCTGATTGCCCATCATCCACCCTTCACCAAACCACGTTGATATTGTTTGCATAAATGTTTGAATTCATGGCTACATTTCCCAACTATCTGGTTTGTCGCTTCTAACTTCACATCCTCTCCAACACGCCTATGACCTTCGACGCTTATGCGCCGACCTGGTCCAGTATACCCTGCAGGTTGATCGACTTGGGGCGCTCGATAGGCAGACCCAGTGCCCTGTCCCAGATCAGCTGTGCAAGCGGGCCCAGACCACGACTGACACCGAAGGTCGCTGTGTAGTAGAGCGTCTCCTTGAAGCCGAAGTGGTGGAAGAGAACACCAGACGACGAGTCGACGTTCGGGAAGGGGTTCTTGGTCTACAAAACAGGTCAGTAACGGTATAAGTTGATCGAGATATGCCATCTTACCTTCCCATGCTCCTTGAGGACATCCGGCGCAACCTCAGAGTTCTTCTTGACCAGCTGGTAAACTGGGTCTGCCGCAATCTCGGGTCGTGCGTTGGCAAAGTCCATCAGAGCTTCGAATCGCGGGTCGGGCTTCCTGAGCACTGCGTGTCCGTAACCAGGGATAACACGTCCAGACTTGAGGACGCTCCAGAGGAACTCATTTACATCCTTCTCGGTGAACTTCTCACCAACGACCTTCTGCATGTCAAGGATGAAACGCAGCACCTCTTGCGCAGCCAAACCGTGCAAGGGTCCTGCGAGTCCTTGAAGCCCAGCACTGTAGCTCAGGAAAGGATCGCTGAGCGCAGATCCGACCAAGTGTGTTGCGTGTGCGGAGACGTTACCACCCTCGTGGTCACCGTGCAGAGCAAGGTACAACCGGAGAAGGTCTTGGAAGCCCTCGTTCTCCTTGCCTGGCTTGCCCAACATAGCAGCAAAATTGTACGACCAATCTTGGTTCAGGTCAATCTCGTTCGGGAGAGCGCCTCCGCCACAGTATGCGTTCTGGTAGATCTTCGCGGCGATGGTAGGTAGTTTGGCGAGTAGACTGATGCAATCGTCGAAAGTAGGCTCCCAGTAGTCGGCTTTGTTAATGCCCTTCTCGTAGGCTTTCGCGAACTTGGACTCGTAGTTCAATGCTGAGACGGCGCATGCGAACTGTGTCATCGGGTGGAGATCTTTGGGGAAGTCATCCAGCATCTTCTCGACAAATTTAGGAATCTGGCCCTTCTCCGCGAGCTCCCGCGAGAGTGCGCGAGTTTGTGATACTGATGGTACTTCGCCTGTGAGGAGCAGCCAGAACATGGCCTCAGGAAGCATCTCAGTGCCGGAAGTGCCCTTGGGCAGCTCCTTTTGGCAGTCTTTGATGGTCTTGCCGTGGAATCGAATGCCCTCGTTCGCATCAAGAACTGAGCCTTCCCAAACCATGGCCTTAAGACCCCTTCATACTGTCAGAGCACGTTTCTAGGTATATTCTGGGCTCATACCTCATGCCACCGAGCGCATTCTCAACCTTGACATCGCCGAGCTTCTTGTCGGCATGTGCCTTGACCTTCTTGAGGAGTTCGCGCTTTGCGGGCAGAACCTTCTTGAACGTCTCCTTGAGATCCGGCTCAGAGGAGGAAGAGTAGCTGCATGCTTGCACTGTAGCAAACAACGCGTTAGGACGATGGCGGCTGGATTAGGTGACCCAATGGCATACCAGAAATAAAAGGACGCGCCTGCAAAGCGTTTGTCAGCTCTCAATGTCTTGTATATGCTGTCGTATAACTTTTGAAGCTCACCTTGGCGGCCCGTAGAGCTCGGGAAGCTGATCGTGCGCTCAATGCCATAGCTAGCTTTACGTGGGGTAGATGCGGGGGACGGGAGTATCACTCTTCAACACACGGAATGCAGAATTCAAGAACACGATGATAGCGTTACAAACTTCACGAGCAGCTAGCAGAGAAATGTTGACGGCAACTCTCGGTAATGCAGCTATGATGCGCCAGGCACGCGTGGTCCGTTGATGCGAGTGCAGCGTCGAATGATGGACCGAGGGGCAGCTGGACGGCTAGACGTGGGCTACATACCTCGGTAGTGACGTCGGCCACGCGCATCCCTGGAGAAACGTTACCGCAAACACGACGCCGGACGCACTTTTTCATGCGAGCCATCGCTATCTGCCTACGCGACGAAGGATTGGGTCAAAATTGAAAAAGGCGTCTGTGGCGAACGTCGTCACCTGATTCCCTCCGAATTACGGATACTTTTCCGTACCTGATTACCAACTGACTCCGCCGCCATCCTACTAAGATACACAGAGGGATTCTGCTGGCTGGGGTCTCATCCACACATACACCTCCAACATGCTACGCACAGTATCGCGCTCCATCGCGCGCCAGGGCCGATCGTCGAAAATAGCGAGCCGAACACCACAACTCCTACGCCCACTCTCCACCACGGCAATTCGCATGTCGAGCTCGACACTCAAGAATGTAGACCCTCCAGTATCGTCAGCGCTCCCTGGCGATTCCTTCCAGCTGCTCCCCGAAGCTTCGAAAGCGGGCCAGGCGGAGGATGCGCTCTTCGAGGAGCAGGTACAAGCCGTCAAGGACTGGTGGGCGTCACCGCGGTACAAGGGCATCAAGCGCCCATATTCTGCGGAAGATGTCGTGAGCAAGCGGGGAGCGCTTCAGCAGTCATACCCCAGCTCGCTAATGGCACGGAAGCTGTTTAACCTTCTCGAAGAGAGGGCAGCCAAGGGCGAGCCCGTACACACCAGTGCGTTTATCCTAGCCTCCATAGATAGTACAATGGCTGATCATGTGTTTTCAAACTCCAGTGGGCGCAATTGACCCCATCCAAATGTCTCAACAAGCTGCGAACCAAGAAGTCCTCTACGTTTCCGGATGGGCGTGCTCCTCCGTCTTGACCTCCACGAACGAAGTCTCCGCCGATTTTGGCGACTACCCATATAATACCGTACCGAACCAAGTCCAGCGGCTGTTCAAGGCTCAGCAATTACACGATCGCAAGAACTGGGACGCAAGGAGGAAGATGAGTGCAGAGGAGAGGGCAAAGACACCTTACCTGGACTACATGAGGCCAATCATTGCTGATGGTGACACTGGGTACGTTTCCACGATTGGAAAAGCACGTTATCAAGGAATTAACGTGTATCAGTCACGGAGGTCTCTCCGCAGTCATCAAGCTGGCGAAGCTGTTCGCCGAGAACGGAGCCGCGGGTGTTCATTTCGAAGACCAACTTCACGGCGGAAAGAAATGCGGACATCTTGCAGGCAAGATCCTCGTACCAGTCGGCGACCACATCAACCGCCTGGTAGCCGCACGATTCCAATGGGACATGATGGGCTGCGAGAACCTTGTCATTGCGCGCACTGATTCGGAGAGCGGCAAGCTCATCTCCAGTGCGGTCGATGTGCGAGACCACGAATTCATCAAGGGCGTCACAGAAGACACCGAGCCCCTCGCCGAAACACTACAGAATATGGAGGCAGCTGGCGCACCAGGCAAAGAAATCGACCAATACGAGGCTGCGTGGGTGAAGAAACACAAGCTCGTAACGTTCGACGAGGCCGTGGTCCAGCACCTCGAGAAAGAAAGTGCGTCCCAATCAACAATCGACTCATACCTCGACGAGACCAAGCAGAACCCGGACTACTCTCTTCTCAAGCGCCGGAAAGTCGCAGAGAAGTACACCAAAACACCTGTGTACTTCAACTGGGATATTCCCCGTACACGTGAGGGCTTCTACCATTACAAAGCCGGCGTCGCTGCCGCAACCAAGCGCGGTAAGGAATACGCTCCATACGCAGATCTTCTCTGGGTCGAGACGGGCGACCCGAACGTGCAAGAAGCTGCCAGGTTCGCCGGCGAGATTCGTGCGGTCCATCCTGACAAGAAGTTCGTATATAACCTCTCTCCCAGCTTCAACTGGATGGGCCAAGGCTTCTCCGAAGAAGCGCTCAAGTCATTTGTCTGGGATCTGGCGAAACACGGATTCGTCTTCCAGCTCATCTCGCTTGCCGGAGTACACTCTACTGCCACGATCACCTGCGAACTAAGTAGGGCATTCAAGGACGAGGGTATGCTTGCGTACGTCAAGCTGGTACAAGCAAGGGAGAAGGAGCTGGGTTGTGATGTGCTCACCCACCAGAAATGGTCTGGCGCTGGATACATTGATGGCATTTTGGGAGCGATCCAGAGTGGCAGCTCAGGCAGCAAGAGTATGGGTGAAGGAAACACCGAGACGGGTTTCTAGAAATGTAAATATAAGATAGCAGATCAAGAGGTGATTCGAGTGTTCAAAAGATGCCTGATGCTCAGCGCGTGACTAAAGAGGAAAGGCGGGATCTGGGGCTCTTGCCTCGGTCCAGCCATCTTTCCCGAGCAATCCATCATCACGCTCAATACCGCCCCTGCCTTCATCTCGCGTCCACAACATCTGATACCACTTCAAAGCGATTCTGCAATTCGAATAATATGGCCAATAAGCCCGCGATACCCGAATGGCAACGTGCCTCTGCCGATAACGCTGCAACGTCATCCGAGCCCGAAGAAGCGCGCGCGCAACACGCTGTCGAAGCCCCAACACCAACCGAAGACGACGTTGAGAGAGATGACAAGGAAGAGCAGCCATCAGAAAGCCCAGAGCTACTAGATCAGGCGTCGCGCTTTCTTGAGGATGATACAATCCGCGATGCGCCGCGCGAAAAGAAGGTCGCGTTCCTGCAGTCAAAGGGTGTGAGCCCCGAGGACATCGAGACACTGCTGGGTCAAGAGCCACAAGAGAGCACGAATACAGAGCTCGAAGCAGCTGGAGAGCGGTCGTGGTCAACAGTGAGTGCAGACACCCTACAGTTGGAGCGCATGAAGCCCAGGCCATCGACAGTCTCGTAGAAGAAAGATACTAACATATACAGACACCGCCAAAGCCGACCGAGGCACCCGAAGTCACATCTCAGCCTCGCGAAGTCATCATTCAGCCCCGCGAAATACCCCCGATCGTCACCTACCCAGAGTTCCTCGCGAATACCGAGAAGCCACCACCACTCATAACCACTCAGCGCCTCGTAACCACCGCATACGTAACAGGAGGCTTGATGGCGAGCATGTATGGACTTGCAAGGTGGATCGTTGCGCCCATGACACACACCCTCGCCGAATCAAGACAGGATTTCGCATCGCATACGCAAGAACAGTTGAAGGAGCTGAACTCAAGACTGGAGAAGGCAGTGTCCGTGGATCCTGCTAGCAAAGTAAAGGCGGTTACAGATGCTGCAGATGATATCTCAGAGGCAGACACCGATCCCACTGAGCTTTACCATCGCGACTACGGCACCCAAACCACACCCAACCTTTCCCGCCGACCGTCTACCTCTACAGACCCACACCCCACCGTAACAGCGCACGAAAACCGCCTCAAGATTATAAAGTCACATCTTGAAGAGCTCGACACGAACCGTACCAACGACGGCAAATCAAGGGATGGATTGCGGACGAAGGTGTCAGACTTGACTTCATACCTGACTGAGATGGACTACCAGAACCAATACTACCCTGGCATGGGCCGCTATGGAGCCACCTATAACTGGTCTGGTCAAAGTAGCACTGCACAGAATGACCAGATCGAGGTTCTGAAAAACGACATCAGGGCTGTCAAGGGTGTGTTTTTGAGTGCGAGGAACTTTCTGGTGGGAGGAAGGAATGCGCCGCCGATTCCTACCGGTAGAGTAGGTTCGTAAGATGGTAGTCAAATCGGAACCTCAGTGCAATGAACTTTATATGTGAGTGTGTATCAGAATCACGGTGTTGGTGCGCATGAGCATGATACTCTTCTCTGTCAGGTGATGTTCACCTAGGTCATCTAGAGCAGCCTGTAATGCAAGGGAACTCTAGTTTGGACAGCGGAAGTCCGGCTGATCTTCGACATTAGTATGACACTGGACCGTTCGCGGCTCTTGCCCCACTATACGTCATACCCAGGCAGCGACACCTTACCCTGCTCAGTTCAAGTAGATGCCCCTGGACGTCCACTGCACAACCACAACACTGACTTCAGAGCCTTCTTATCCTACAATCATGTCGGGTTGGGCGTCTAAGTTGACCTCCTTGGGTCATTCCAAGTCTGAGGACAAGGACGAAACGTCGCTTACCACGCTTCTCGATGCAGACCAATGCGCGGATCTGACCTTCTTGATAGCGACCATCACCGCATCCATGCGACAGTCCCTGGTCGATACCTTTACCGCCGAGGAATTTCCAATCGACTCCAAGACTGCTAAATCAGAGGAGGAGATACTGCAAGATGCGCCTTCCAACCTCGACGATGTCGATGTTGCCAAGGAAGATAAGATCAAGAAAGAAAGGCAGGCTCGCGAAGAAGATGCGAGGAAGGAGCTCGCACAGCCTGAAGTGCAAGAGTTGAAGCAGGAGATGCTGAAGTATTTTGATGGTTGGCGAGGTAGCGTCATCAGCAGAATCGGCGAGGTAGTCAACTCGAAAGAAAAGGCCAAAGAGCAGACACGTCAGGTCGAAGACAAGAAAGTTGAACAAATCAAGAAGAAATCCGAGACTGGTCTGAAGAGCATTTCGAAGCTCGATGAGAAGGATGAAGACGAGGACAAAATGTTCAACGAGCTTTATCCACCTGTTCCCAACGCCCTCACTCAATTGGAAGAGAGCAAACGAGCACTCATACTGCATTCGCTGGTGCTCATACTTCTGAGCCTGGAGCACTACTCAGCACATTCTCGCGTCCTGAATCTTTACCTCACAAGTTCACTCGGGCTGAGTAGAGCCGTCCTGAAGAAAGATGAGGAGACTGTTGCCCAAGGTCTTTTGGAGGCAGCATCTCAGCAACTGAATGCTGATGCCGAGACCAAGGAAGCGGCCGAGAAATCGCAGAATGCTCGTAGATGGAAGGTCGGCCTTGCTGGTGTTGCTGGTGCTGCGTTGATCGGTGTCACTGGCGGGCTTGCTGCACCGCTCCTTGCGGCGGGCGTTGGAAGTGTCATGGGTGGGATCGGTCTGGGTGCTACTGCAGCCGCAGGATATCTGGGTACTCTTGCTGGTTCTTCCGTTCTTGTTGGCGGGCTGTTCGGTGCGTATGGTGCGAAGATGACTGGACGGGCCATGGACGACTACGCCCGACAAGTCGAGGACTTCGCATTCATCCCAATTCACCGTACTCAGGATCCAAGGAAACAGGACAACGAGTCTCGTCGCCTACGTGTCGCTATCGCTGTCTCCGGTTGGCTGCGCGACCCTGAAGAAGTATCAAAGCCATGGAGATATATCAGTACGGGGACAGAAGGCTTCGCACTTCGTTGGGAGCTGGAAGCGCTGCTCAAGCTCGGACACAGCCTCGAGACATTCGTGACTAGTGCTGCTTGGGGTTACGCAAAGAAGAAGATCATCGAGCAGACTGTCTTCGCTGCGATGACGGCTGCAATGTGGCCACTGGGCTTGCTGAAGATCGCGACTTTGCTGGACAACCCGTTTTCGAAAGCCAAATATCGCGCCGAAAAGGCTGGTGAGGTCCTTGCAGATGCATTGATCAACAAAGTCCAAGGCGAACGACCAGTCACTCTTGTTGGCTACTCTCTCGGCGCACGCTTGATCTTTTCCTGCCTTGAGAAGCTGGCCGAGCGCAAAGCTTTTGGACTTGTTGAGAACGTCGTCCTCGTCGGCGCTCCATGCCCTTCAGATGTCGCTGATTGGCGGCGTGTTCGTTCCGTAGTGAGTGGCCGTTGTGTCAACGTCTTCTCCAAGTCCGACTACATCCTTGGCTTCCTCTACCGCACATCCTCTATGCAACTTGGCGTCGCGGGTCTGCAGCCCGTCGTCGGTGTACACGGCGTTCAGAACGTTGACGTCAGCGATCTTGTCGACGGTCATCTCCAATACCGCTTCATCACAGGTTCCATACTTCGCAAGATCGGCTTCGAAGACGTCGACATCGAAGAAGTAGAGCGTGCAGAGGCTGATCTGGCAAAGGAGAAGAAGAAGGAAGAGGAGGAGAGGGCAAAGAATGAAGGTAGCAAGGGAGAAGGTGACGAAGAGAAGGAGAAGGTGGAGCTGGAGCAGGCTGTCGAAAAGAAGCAAGAGCAAAGCTGGATGCAGGTCACGCAGCAGAAGATGAAGGGCCTCGATATCGGTGGGTTCGTGAAGGGTCTACCGGGGAAGGTGGCTCCGGAATATGGAGCGGAGAAGACGGCTAAGAAGCATACGGGTGACTTCAAGGATACGAAGTAATGCGCAACACTCATATGAGTTTTGTGAGGGACTTTCGGGTCAAGGTTTTTGTACATTAACTAGGGAAATTGCGGATCATCAGGTCTCATTCGGTGAAGGCTCTATGTTTGAAGAACAGGTCGCAAAAGCTGGTGTTTTGTTTCGTAGCATACAAAATCAGCTGCAAAATCCGGTCCATCATCGTAATTGCATGTGCTCCATTCGTTCATGTGAAAGCTTTCCCCAGCTTAAGTCCCAATGCGGTTAGTCGATTTGTGGGGAAGCCGAGGCATTCGTTCACATGTCGCAGGTGAGGCTTACAGGCGACACCTTCTGCGACGTGCTGATCTACCAAACATCACAACCGGCGCGCGCAGTATATTGCATCTCGCTAGCTTATCGCGACGGCATATGTAACTGGCCAGGCCACGATACTACGCATTCCACAACACTGCGTATGTACTGAGATCAGCCACCACGAACCGTTACGCCACGCTGCTCTACGCACAGCGTCAATCTCTCGCATAAGACCAATGCCTCGTCCACGATAGCCATGGCTGTCTTTTCGAAACCGCTCTCTTCCCACCGCCTCACGAGCGCGTCTGCCAAAGCCATAGTCAACGACCTCACACGCCTGTACCTCCAGCACCGAACACGCATATCACGCGCCGTCTACCTCACCCTCTTCGTCGCGCTCATAAACCGCATACGGAATGCCATTGCCGAGCAGAAGGCCGCTTCAATACGGCGTGCCTCCAAAACAGCGGATAAGACGACAGCAGGCGAGGGTGAGGCAACGGGGAGGAAGAAGGTTGAGCTGAACAGGGAGTTCTTCAAGAACCTGCTGCGGCTACTGAAGATATGTATACCTGGGTGGAAGAGCAAAGAGTTCAGGCTCTTGATCGGACATAGTGTGTTTCTGGTGTTGAGGACGATGATCAGTCTGTACGTCGCGGAGTTGGACGGAAGACTGGTTAGTGCGCTTGTACGAGGGAAAGGAAGGGAGTTCCTCCTGGGACTGGTTTGGTGGATGGCTGTGGCCGTGCCAGCAACATTCACGAACAGTATGGTATGTCAGACTTCCTGTCCTCCCACCAGAGAGCGAGACGGCAAGGCCGCAGCCGCCAACGGGCGACCGAAGACATGCTAACAGACCCAGCTCTCGTACCACCAGTGCAAACTCTCCCTCCAATATCGGACGCGTCTCACGAACCATATCCACTCCAAATACCTCTCGCAGATGACCTTCTACACGCTTTCCGCACTTGACGATCGCATCGCAAACGCCGACCAACTCATAACCGTCGACGTCTCCAAATTCTCCAATTCGCTCGCCGAACTCTATTCGAATCTTGCGAAACCGGTACTAGACATCATAATCTACAACTACTCGCTCTCGCGCAGCGTCGGTGGCGAAGGCCTATTCTTCATGAGCCTTCTGGTTCAGATCTCGGCCAACGTCATGAGGGCGCTTACCCCTCCGTTTGGCAAATACGTAGCGGATGAGGCGAGGTTGGAGGGCGAATTCAGGTTTCAGCACTCTAGGTTGATCGATTGGAGCGAGGAGGTGGCACTGTATGCGGGACATGAGGCGGAGAAGGATACCTTGGATAAGGGATACTTCACGCTGATCAAGCATGTCAACCGGATATTGAGGAGGAGATTCTACCACGGAGTCATGGAGGACTTTGTGATAAAGTACTTTTGGGGTGCGCTGGGATTGCTGCTCTGCAGTGTGCCAGTGTTCTTCAAGGTGCCGGGAACAGGCGGTATGACTATGGGAGATCGGACGGAAAGTGAGTACTCAGAATCCGCAGTCCTTGTTTCATATTGCGAGGAGGATGATTACTGACAAGTGTTACTACAACAGGCTTCGTCACCAACCGGCGAATGCTCCTTATGTCTAGCGACGCTTTCGGTCGCGTCATGTTCTCGTACAAGGAGATCACCGAGCTCGCCGGCTACACTTCACGCGTTTCAACCCTCCTCGACGTAATCGACGACATACAAGCTGGTCATTTTGAGAAGAAGCTCGTTTCTTCCGCCGACACCGAGGAGAACGCATCCGTTCTACGCGGTCGCGGCACTGTAACCGAAGGCACGGATATAGAGTTCATCGACGTGCCTATAGTATCTCCAAACGGCGATGTGCTCGTGCGCAAGCTTTCCTTCAGTGTAAAGCCGGGAGACCATCTCCTCATCGTGGGACCCAACGGCTGCGGAAAGAGCAGTCTGTTCCGCATTCTAGGCGGCCTCTGGCCTGTATACGGCGGCAAAGTACGAAAGCCACCGTTCGAAGACATCTTCTACATCCCCCAACGTCCGTACCTCTCGCGCGGAACGCTGCGTCAACAGATCATCTACCCAGACTCGCTACATGACATGCACTCTAAATCCATTACCGACAACGACATCCTTTCGATTCTCGAGACCCTGAACCTAGAATCCCTCATCGACCGCCCCGGCGGCTTCGACGCTGAAGCGCAATGGGAAGACGTGCTTTCCGGGGGTCTCCAGCAACGCGTCGCCATGGCGCGGCTTTTCTACCATAAACCCCGGTATGCTATCCTGGACGAATGCACGAGCTCTGTGACACTGGAGGTAGAGCGGGTGATGTATGAGGAAGCGAAGAGACTGGGTATCACCCTTATGACAGTCAGTCACCGGAGAAGTCTTTGGAGGTACCATACTAGGATCCTGCAGTTTGACGGCCAAGGTGGCTTCTACTTTGGAGGGCTGGATGCGGAGAGGAGGGCGGTGCTTGAAGAGTAAGTTCCTTTCCATTTGGGGTGTCTGTGAGCTTTTTGGAGTATGCGAGAATACGCGCTAACATTTTGATAGTGAGAAGGAAGACATCGACCTGCAGCTCAGAGCTGTTCCGGACATTGAGCAAAGGATCAGGGAGTTGGAAGCTTCGCGGTAACGGATGTGGATGCATGTGGTCGAACAAGTTTAATGGGCGCTGATATGTGGTAGCCGCGGTTCTGTGCGTAGTTATATCATATCTTGCATGGAATATATGAAATGGCGCACTGCAACGAGAGGGCATAGCTTCGTAAGCTCACCGCGTGATATATCACAAGATAATGCATACATACATCCAATGCTGATTAGATACGGATGCATCTATATGCAAATGGTGCACGCATGGCGGTGACATGCATGATACTAAGGGCTTTGCATCTGCGATGTTGAGGCAGAAGGTGGCAGCAGTAGCTTGAGAGTGATGTAGCGCGCAGGTGTAGAAGGCATCTTGCACATGTGGACGCACGACGCGCATGAACACTCAGTAAAAACAGTAAATAGGTGGCGGTATGATCATAGAGGAACATCAAGTGTGAAAGGAACAACTCCCATAGACAGCATCATCATGCTACACATCGCAAGAGGCGTGGCACGGAATGTACGCGGCAGCAAAACTCAGACGCGTCGAGGGGCGAGGTCGGGCATGTCCGGGTGGAAACTGCCTCAAGGCTTACCCCATGTGTGTATATGGTGGCTGGGAAAGGGCGCAGGTGGCCTCATGGGCGTCATGTTAAAAAGAAAGTCGCGGTTGAGCGCGCTCAAACGCGCTCAGATGGGCTAGCGTCGGGTGCTCCCGCCTCTCAGGGTCCATTAGCGCGAACAGCAGCTCATCCGAGACGCGTCCGAGGTTTAGCGCCTTGATCCGAGCCATCGCCGCGCCAAGCCAGCCCTCACGTAAAAGCTGGCCACCTCGCTCCTCCCTACTCACCTGTACACCACACTTTCTGCAGCTGCCCCATGCCACTTTCCACAACCACAACACTCTCAAGCCGCTGCTACTGCATTGCTGCGTATCTGCTTCTTCTTCTGCTCTGCACTCTCCACACTTCAGCTGAGTCAATTGTTCGCAATTGCTCTCCCCCTCACGCGCAGCTGCTTCTCGACGCGTCGCGTCAGGTAACCACACTGCACTCAGTCACCACGCTGTCTGCCACTGCTTCTCTCCACACTCTCAGCATTGCTCCTGGGTAGTCTCCAGCAGCCATGACTACCCTCAATCTCAAGCTCGGCCAGACGGTCGAGACTTCTGGCGGTGTAGACGGCATCGTCCGCTACCTAGGCCCCATACACGTCTCAGAGGGGCGATTTGTGGGAATAGAACTCCCAACTGCTGATGGCAAGAACGATGGCTCCGTACGCGGAGAGCGTTACTTCACTTGCGCACCTCTCCACGGGCTGTTCATCCGCGACACTAGCATTGTCAGCATCCTCTCTGAGGCAGCCCCCGCACCGGCTCCTCCTACTCCACGAGCGGTCTCCAAAACAAAGGCACCACCCACCACACCCAGAGCCCGCCCATCAAGCGTGGTTGCCCCTAAGCCTACAACCACTACAAGGACAACCACATTGAGCAAGCGGCAGTCAGTCGCAGCTCCCTCAACATCACAACCGCCTTCGCGTGGTCCAATCCGCAAGGCCAGCGTGGCGAGCACGTCAAGTAACTCTGCCGCTGAATCATCTCGCGCCCCATTCTCTCGACCCGAATCCTCCCGCGCAGAACCTCCTCGTCCCGAACCTTCTCGTCCTACACCATCAACCTCAAGACCGAGTCTTGCATCTTCAGTCACAAGCAATGCTGGGAAAGCAAGTCGGGATAACAACGTCGACAATCTGCACACCAAGATTAGGCATCTCGAGAAGCAACACGCGGAAGATCAAGAGCGACTCAGAGAATACGCCCAGGTTCGCGACGAGAAGGAGCGCTACAGCGGCATCATCCAGCGGCTCCAGAACAAGTGTCAAGCTCAATACACCGAGATACAGGAGCTGAAAGATAGAGTGAACACACTTCAGTTGGAACAACAAACTCTCAACAGATCACACCAGGACCACGAGGTGGACTTGGAGGATGCCTTGGTGGACAAGGAGATGGCCGAGGAGAGGGCGGATCAAGCCGAGGCAGAAATCGAGTCGTTGCGCAAGCGCCTGGAAGAGCAGACACTGGAGCTGGATATTCTTCGCGATGAGGCCGACCTCTTCACAACAGAAATGTCCGAGGATCAGAAGCAAGAGGCTGGATACTACCGTCTCCAACACGAGAATGATCGCATGCGACAGGCGTTGATCACTCTGAAGGAGATGACAGAGGAGCGGGAACAAGACTTCAAGGCACACATTCTCGGGCTCGAGGGCGACGTCGCACAGCTTGAGTACTACCGACAAGACAACGCAAATCTCCAAGAACGTCTCTCTGTATCCGAGAACCTTGTCGACCACTTGAAACAACAGTTGGACGCTGCCAATGAATGGGAGGAGATGGTCGAGGAGTTGACCCAACAAAACCAGAATCTCCAAGATAGAATCGCGGAGCAGGATCTGGTCGTACAAGATCTTGAGAACCTACGGGAACTCAACGACGAGCTAGAAGCTCAACACCTTGAGCAAGAAGACGACATGCTTGCAGAGCTTGACGCTAAGAACAACGAGCTCGCTGAGCAAGTACGCCAGATCACCGAACAAACCAACATCATCGCCGACCAGGAGTCTTTGATCTCCAAGTTCCGAGACCTCGTCATGGACCTACAAACCAAAATGGCCGACGCTGAGTCTTCCAAGACTATGACGGAAGCCCAAGTCAAGGACACCACCGGCCGTTTCAACGAAGTGATGGACCTCAACCGCCAACTGCGTGCAGCCACTGTGTTGTCGACCACACGAGAAATTGAATCTTCGCTGGTATCGCTCAAGGCAGATCAGCTCGCAGAAAAGCTCGAGATTTGGAACGAGACAGAGTCCAAGGAGTTCACTCGGAGCGAGTCTCTTCAAGCCTACCTCGCAACAGAAAGGATCGCTGGGAAATCCAAACTGCTTGTCAATGTGTTGAGGAGCACCTGTCGTCACATGAGCAATGGCGGTCGATTGGACGATGCCGTCTCTAGACTCGTCTGTGAAGAGTCCATAGTTCACTTGGAGGTTCTTAAAGACGGAAGCAACCGTCTTTGGTCTGCCATTCGTGGCCTGTCACTTCCCGAATTTGCCAATTTTGGCCCGACGTACCAAGAATTGATCTCGGTAGAGCAGGTTCTTGATCAAGGCCTCAACGCTCTCAAGGCAGACACACTCAACTTTGAAGAATTTGCTGGGTCCCTGGAGCGATCGACCAAGACACATGAAGCAATCCTGTCAAGCCACCAAGAGGTCCTTGCTGCACGACCAGAGGGAGACTTCCTCTCCATTGCGACATCGCTCCACGCAAGGATAAACTATATCCTCTACATTTACGATCTGGCACACTTTGTCCTAGAGAAAGTGCCCGAGAGCATACGCGAGGAGTGCGCAAAGATGCTCATCCATTTCAACGAGCCAGTAGATACTTTGCAGGCTACATCCACGGCTGCGGTCAGGTTGCTGCGGACTCTGAAGGCTCTGGTTCAGGATGGTATGTATCCTGAACGGCCATATGATTTCGAGGACGCTTTCAGATACGACGAAAAGCTGGCATCGGCTGCTGGAACCCTTGCCGCTTTCGTTCGCAGTCTGATCGAGGAGGTTGCGAAGTGCACCAGCCTATCCGACACCGATCCAATCCCTACTCATGAGCTCCGCGCGATCAAAGACAACATCGATAATCTCGATGTCGATCAGAATTATGCTTTCATGTTTGCCCATCTGAACACTATTACTATGCACCTGAATTCGTGGGCCGACCAAGTTGGCATACTATCAAAAGCCATCGAGATCGAGCACGGACCTACGCCCTGGGCTCAGAAGGCGAAGGAGGTTGAGGCGGGACGAAAGAAGGACGACGAGGCTGTGCGCCAGCTGCAAACTCTCACCGTTGAGCATCGTGCCACTGTCTTGAAGATCCACGAGCGAGAGCAAGTCATCGCTACCAAAGAGCTCGAAATCGAGCACCTCATGGCCAAGATCAAGGATGCTACCAGCAAGACCGAAGGTCTCGAGGCTCTCCAAGAAGAGCTCACGACGCGTCATGATAAGATCATGGATCTTCAGGCTCTGAACCGATCCCAGATGATGGAGATTGAGGCTTTGAAAGAGCGCTTGGCCAATGCCGACGAGCATGCGCAAAACGACGCAGGACACGCCATGGAGACCATTGCTGCTCCAGTCGAGCAACCTCTGGAGGAGGATGACCCGTTCGCTCATCTCAGCAAGCTCAAGACTATGCTCGAAGCTCTCGATAATGAGAACCATTGGCTGCGCAAGCGCGAAAACGACTGGGCATTCAAATGGAACGTGCGCCAGACGTTGATCAGTCTGGCCACTTACAAGCATGTCGAAAAAGATTGGAGGCAATTCTATGAGAGACTTTACCTCGATGACGATGATGAGTTCATCGTTTTTGAGCCATCAAGCCCAGTGCTCGAGGAGAACCCAACATATCAAATCTCGAACGCACATGGTGCTGGCCGACCTAAGATGTCGGCTATCGAACTCAGTGGCATCAGCCTAGGCTGGGAGGAGCGCGCACACAGTCATAAGGTGGCTTTGGAGCAAGCCGAGGAGGACTTTGTCCACCTGTCCATGCTCTCCGATGATTACGACGACTTGTCCTTCATTGCGGTGTAATTCTAAGATACTCTATCGACTAGAAGGGGAGGAAGAAAAAGACACGACTTCGCATTTACGATTCCACACGACACGGTGTTGCGCATTTGGTTTTTCAGCGACAACTCGAGAGCATGGGAAGATGCATCTTGGGTACTGGGCGTTTATTTTGGCTCTCATCACCTTTTTGAGCATTGGAGTTTTGGGGTTAGCCTTGGTTTTGATTTGGTGTTTATCGCGACGATACCCATGGGTCTGCATTCGCTGCATCGTTCTTGTTGTACTTTGTTTTGTATACGTTTCCTTTCTTGTAGCTAGCTTTTTACTCTTGTCTTAGTCCTCCCGGTTTGAGACCTTGACTCACCCCTTCGGGGGTTTGAGTCGGACTCG